TCCAAGGCCTGTGTTGAACCTGTGCAGCGGTTTGTTCAGAAGAGCCTGAAAAACAGTGTGAACTGAGCCAGACGCAGAAGAACAGATACCGTATGATTGAACACATACGAGGTGTCTGGAATAGGTGAAGGTTACCAGGAGCTGGGAGAGGGAGATAGGGAGCTATTTGTCAGGGGGGAGGGGTAGCATACCAGGGATTGAACTCGGGGGGCACTCAACCACTGAGCCCCATCCCCAGCCCTATTTTGTATTTTATTTAGAGACAGGGTCTCACTGAGTTGCGTAGCGCCTCACGGTTGCTGAGGCTGGCTTTGAACTCATGATCCTCCTGTCTCAGCTTCCCAAGCCACTGGGATTACAGGCGTGCACCACCACACCCAGTGAGCTATTATTTAATGGGGGCAGAGTTTCAGTTTGGGATGGTGAAACAGGTTGAGGGATGGGCGGTGGTGGCCGCTGCCTTCATTCTACCCTTAACATGGTTAAGATGGTAAATTTTATGTTACGTCTGTTTTAACGCCATAAAAATTTTATCTCAAAGAAGAAAAAAGACTAACACCAAACATGAGTTTTCTCACCACCCACCCACCCCTCCCAAATTTCTGACCCCATTGTTTTTTGTCCTCCACTCCTCAGTTTAATTTATTTGGAGGTTGTTTGCTACTGAGTTACTAATTCATTGGAAATGATAATACACCTGTGAAATAAAAATGATTATACGTTAAGGAATAACACTTATTGATAATTAAGTGTTTCATTGCTTCCTTGCTTCCCCAAATGGAATAAATAAATATTTTAGACATAATCAAGTTTGTTTTCTCCCTTCAGACCTTACAGATAGGGATGTTGAGATGATATAGATCTTTTAAATCCCACGGACGAGTCTTGACATCACTGAATTGTTCTGCATCGAGGGCGGATGGGCCTGAAATCCAGGCTTTCGCCTTTAGTCAGGAGAATCATTTTTGTGATATTCACAAAAATTTGAGTCGTGTGGGGCTGGGGAAGGGACGGGCGGGGAGAGTATGGGAGTCAGAACCTGAAATTCTGGGAGGAGGCCTGTGCCCGTCCCCATAGCTTTCTGCACTTTAGTTCCTGTCCCTCTGCTCGGCTGCCCTCCCTCCTGTCTGGGCGTGGTAGCACAGAGGAGGAAGTTTGGCAGCAAAGAGTTCTAAACTGTAGGTGCTTGGGGTCCCGTGCTTTGCACAGTAGGCCGGGAAGGAGTTGGATGGAGCACAGATGCAGCATCCAGGGCAGGGAGCTCGGCCTTGGGCCCCATGGTGGCCTGACAAACCTGGCCTCTCTCCCAGGGTCAAGTGTGTTTCAGGCCCGGCTGTCCTCTGGCCTGCGGAGTGGTGTCTTTCTCCGGCCCTGACTTCATTTTCTGTCCCCATCACACATCCACACGCCTGCCTTCTGTCCAGAGCGGCATAATTGGTGGGTCAGCTGGAGGGGGTGGCACATGGCCTGCCTCTTTGGGGGCAGCTGAAACCTGTAACCTCACCGCTCTAGGGTTCTGTGGCTGCCATAACAAATGACCACTTGTGGCTCAAAAGAGAGAAATAGATTCTCACAGTTCTGGAGGTTGAGGCTGTCCTCCCTCCAAAAACTGTGGGAGACCATCTCTCCTGACCTCTTCTGGAGTCTGGTGGCTCCAGCTCTTTCTGAGTCTGTGGCTGCATCACCCCATTCTGGCCTACGTCTGCCTTCACACACCCTTCTTCTCTGAGTCTCAAATCTCCCTCTCCTGTCTCTTGTGAGAACATCTGTCATTTAAATTAGGGTCCACCCTAAATCCAGGATAATCTCTTCTAGGGATTCTTAACTTAGTTACATTTGCAAGAATCCTTTTTCCAAGTAAGGTCACATTCGTGCTTGCCAGGGATTAGGACATGGATCTCTATCTGGAGGGCTGCATTCCAGCCTCTGCACTCACCTTGATTAGCAGTGAGATCCCTGAAAAACTGGTCCACTTGGGCTTGTTTTATTTGCAAGGTACCTGGGTTTGGGACTAGGCCAGAGGGGTGGCTTTCAAAGACAGATGCGGCCCATGGGCTAGAAGTGAGGGACACATCAGAAAGTGAGGTCCATCCTAGGAAAGGCTTTCTCCGAGGGATGCTCTGACTCAAGTTTGCTGGGTTGTTTTGTTGAAGTTGTTTCCAGTGCTGGGGATTGAACCCAGGCTGCTCTCCCACTGAGCTATGCCCCCAGCCCTTTTATTTTTCATTTTGAAACAGGGTCTTGGTAAATTGCCCAGGCTAGCCTCGAACTTGTGATCCCCCTGCCTCGGCTTCCCGAGTTGGCTGGGGTTACAGGCGTGCAACACAGCACCCGGCTTGGAGCGAGCCTTTTAAAGAGTGAACTGCTCAAGAAGAATCGTGTTGCTCTGTGTGTCCTCAACAGCACTTGGCACAGAAGTGGGCCAGGTAGTGCAGGAGGAGGAAGGCTCCATCCGTTTGGAGGCAAAGCAGTGACTCACGTGGATTGGCAAGACACCCTGTCCCTGGAGGCACAGAAATGGTTCCATCAGCCATTCACTCAGCACAGTGTGTGTTTGTTAGGGGCCTGGGACTCAAGAAGAGGCACCAGCCCTGCCCTTGCCCTTCACCCCTTCTCCTAGGGCTAGTTAGGATCTGAGCTCCAGGAGGAAGGGGCTTAACCAAAGAGATGCTGGGAAGGGCACCCTCCCTGGGTGGGACTTCTAACCTAATGGTCTTTAGGCCCTTACCACCCAGTTTTCCTAAAACAAACCCCGGGAGGGGTCGCTGAGCATTGTTCAGAACCTTCGAAGGAGGCAGGGGAACAGACACACCAGAGCAAAAGAAATGCTGTGGGCGCTGCCTCTGGGTGTGGGGCGTATCCAAAGGCCAAGGAAAACCGCCCAGAGAGGGGAACCAACAGCAGCACTGTGGCTTTCTCTCCAGGGACCTGGTTGAGGAGGGCAGTGGTTGTGAACCTGGAGAAAGGTTAATTTCACACAATCCCATTGTGTATCTCCTGCCTGCTTCAGACCTCAGAGGTAGCTGAGGACCCACGTTTTACCAGTGATACTGGGTGAAACTTGTCCTCTTTGAGCCCCTATAGCAAATGCCTGTGTCCTCCTTATGGAAGGTCAGATGTCCATCTTGTGTGTGACATGAGCTGGGCTGTGTGCCCTGGGAGCACTGGCCCAGTGTTTGGTGGGTGGTAACCACTGGCGCACACTGAAGGTCCTGATTACCTTTGGGTGGTGGTCCCAGCTTTCTGTTTTACTGGAGGTTGTTTGAGAGCAGAGAGTGCTCATCTTTTCCTGAAGAATCTTGACGAGTCTGCAGGAGCTGTGTGTAAGTGCTCTGTGTATCAGCACCTCGTATTCCTGACAGAGTGTGGTGGAGTTGGATATGTGAGCCAGAAGGGACTTGGGAGAGGCCTTCTCCACCTTGGGTACCAGGTTGAATGGGAAGCATCTGTTTTTCTTGTGGATAGAAAGCACTATGAGCATAATACAAAAAGTCATACTGATTTTTTTTTTCTTCCTGTTTGGTGTGTCCAGCATTGCATTCAGCCAGATTTGGAACCTTGGGGAGGACAGTGTCTTGTGGGGGCTGCTATATGAGAGGACCCCAGCTTACGAATAGCAGGAGTTTCCTAGTAGTTCTAGAGGCTGGAACTCCAAGGTCAGGGACCAGCATGGCTGGTTCTGGCGAGGGCTCACTTCCTGGCTTAGAGAAGACCAATCTCTTGAGCCTCCCTTGGCAGACAGAAAGCTAGCTCCCTCATGGCTTTTGATAAGGACACTAAGCTTCTTTGTGAGGGCTCCATCCTCATGTCCTTATGATGGAATCAATTGGCAAAGGCCCCACCTCCTGACAGTGTGGCACTGGGAAGTAGGACTTCAGCATATGGACCAGGGGATAGGGAGGGACAGGCATATGGACAACAGCACATTCAGTCCCTAGCCCGGAGTTGAATGTGAGGGCACCCCGTGTCCAGTCCCACCACCTAAATTTGCAGGTGCATAATGTGAGGCTCAAAGGGGAAGGGGCTCTCCAGGTTATCCAGAGACAGGATGCACAGTCGCAGCTGGAACCCAGGCCCCCTGGCTCCCTGGTGCGTCTGCACCTCTGCCTGGTTCCCTTCCCCATGTTGGTGCCGGCACTGCGCATGTTCCATCCCATGCAGGGCGCGCCCCTGCGTGCGGGTCTGTGTGGGACCGCGGTGCTTACTGAGTCGGGTCACAGCTGGGGCTGCATGCAGGAAAAGCGGTCGGGGGTGGGAAGAGAAGAAAGGAAGGGGCAGGAGGGTGGAGAGAGACACTCAGGATGCTGAGCCGTGGTCGCCTGCCAAAATTCTTCAGTGCAGCTTGTCTAGCAAAGCCGGTCTCCAGCCGAGTAAATACAGTGGATAGCTGACGGCTGACAGCAGGCATCAAACAGCCTTAAACTGCCCCAAATCCGCAGCGCTTTTGAAGCGGCAGTAGAAAAAGGAGGCCTGCGCAGAACAGAGGCCTGCAACTTTTAATAGTTTCTTCCAGGCCTCAGGATGTCCTGATGAGGTATTAGAGGAAGTAATTCAGGAAGAAAAGGACAAATAACCGCCTCCGTCTGGAGGCCGACCCGAGGGCTGACCATTCCAGCTCCCGGAAAGGGCCAGCGTGGCCCCGCAGTGATCCGCGAGGCTGCCGTTCGCCCACCCGCCTGCCTCTGCGCACAGAGCCGCAGGGCTCTGACCCCCGTAAATAACAGACAAGTCAATTTCTTGTTTGCTTCGGGGCAAATGTAAACCACACAGTGCCCGCTGCATGTGGGTGAAATCATTAACTTTTCCTCGCTGTTGGAAGGGAGCTGGGTACAAATTAGAATCCTTGCCTGGACTTCAAGGTCGTCCCAGGGACCCCGCCCACCCACCCCATCAGGAGCCTGTCCTGACTGCAGGCTGTCAAGAGAAACCCCCGGGAGGGCCTGCCCAGCCCAACTCACCCCACCTCTCTTGTTTTCTCTCTTCCTTTTTTTTCCCTTCAGGGTTTGGCTTCGTCACTTTTGAGAATGAAGATGTTGTGGAGAAAGTCTGTGAGATTCATTTCCATGAAATCAATAATAAAATGGTAAGTCTGGGGGGTTTGCTGTGATATGGGACACCCCTTCCCCAGCGCACACCGCTGGCCACCTGGCTGCACCCCACATCGTGTGCAGGCTAGGCAGGGGTGGGCACAAGAACTGGCTAGAGTCTCAGGATTCAGCTCTGTGCGCGATGGCAGTGGTTTAGCACAGGGATGGATGGGCTCTTCTATAAGGGGCCAAATGGTGTTTTCAGCTCTGCAGCCACACAGCCGACTCTTGGAACTAATCACCCCTGAGTCATGGCACAGAAGCATCCGTCGGCTGTATATCCCGTGAATAAGTAGAGCTGTGTTTCAATAAAGCTTTGTTTATAGATTTGGGTTTCATGGAAGTTTCCCGTGTTGCTGTTTTATCTATTTATTTACTTATTCTTTATGTGTACATGGTGCTGGGGATTGATCCCCTGCCTCACATATGCTAGGCAAGTTCTCTACCACTGATCTACATCCCCAGCCCACAAAATACTATTTTTTTTAACCATTTAAAAACATAGAAACCATTATTGACTCTTGGGCCTTGCAAGGACAGACAGGGGCACTGGATGTGGCCTGTGAGTTGTAGTTGGCTGAACCTGGTTTACAGTGTGCTTTCCACGCTAGTCTGTGGATAGGAAGTTTACCAAACTAGTTCTCTTTGGGCCCAGCTGGGTAATTAACACCCCCTCCCCTGGTGGTCAATTAGACTGTGTCTGCCTTCAGGACCAGCTGCTTCCCTCCTTCCCTCTGGCTCTTTGAAGTTCCTTTTCCTGCCTCAGCTGCCTCTGGAGGAGGGAGGAGGTTGGACTATGGGATCTGGGGAGCCAAGTAGGCCTCCCAGAGAAGTGGCCACCAGAGGGCGCCATGCCATGCAGTGTGTGCCTATTTGCTATCTCAGGATCCTCTCTTTAAGTTGGGTAGGGGGTGAGAAACCCCTTCTTTGTTGGTTCTGGAACAAAATGGGAGCTCCAGAAGGTGTTTCTGGAGCCATCCGCAAGTCCTCTGGTGCACCAGCATTTTGGTTGGCTAGCAAAGCTTCCAACCCTAAGAGAAGAGGGAGGGCAAATTCATGTTTCAGTCTCCGCTGTAACTTTGATATTTTCTCCCTTTTGTCAAAACGTTCCTTGCATCTGAAACATACATTTAGATATGCGTTGTATATTGGTCTGATGTGTGTTCACCAACTTTAAATTCAATAATAGAGCTTTTAGTGTGGATAAGATCAAAGCAATCTGCTTAGCATGTGGTGCTACAGGCCTGATTCAATATTTGACTTGCTAATTTTTTCCCAGGGCACTAAAATAATATTGTTCATATTGTTCCTAGCCATCATATGCATCTGAAATGAAAATACTCTTTCTTTGCATACTGCATGTTGGAGACGTCAGTGCATGCTTTAAAACAGGACCGAGGAGATAATACCACTGGTCCCTTTGTAGGCTTTGTCCCTCAGATGCCATTGCCTTTCCATGGTACCTTTCTCTCTCACTAGGTCACTATTTGCTGTTTTTAAAACTAGAGAGACAGAGGACTTAAACCTGTGTGCAGTGCCTGACAGGCTCCGCTGAAGGCTGCCTGGGCAGCAGGGAATAGAAGGAGCAGCGGAGAGTGCAGGCAGATGCCCTTCCTGTCCTGCCAGGACTTCACGGTTCATCGGGAAAGGCCCAGTGCAGGAAGAACAGCTCTGTGTGCCACCTGGAATGCAAATACAGCCTTTGACTATTGACAGGCTTGGAAATGAGCCTGAGACCCAGACAGGGAAGGACTTTATCCTCCTCACTGTTCCAGTGGAGAAACTGAGGCCCCGGCTGCCCAGAGAGTGCAGGACCATAGGTCTTGAGTTTTAGTGTGATAAACTGTACAGTTGTCTGAGTGTGGGGTGAAAGGCAAACCCTAGGTGACCAAGAGAAGCCAGAGAAGTTTGTGGCCATTTCTTTTCCACCCACATTAAGTGACTCTTCCACTCAGGTGGGTGTTAACTTTGACAGGTGCGAGTAACTGGTGAGTCTGGTGTAAAAGTTTCTGTCTTCTTTTGAATCTGGGGCTAGTACATGCTCTTTAAGAGGTAAGCCAAAACTGGAAGTAGACAAAGAGGAGGAAGCAGGGCAGAGAGACTAGGATCCCGATGCCCAGCCCAGCCCCACCAACTATGGGCCCCAAGAGGGGGAATTTAGAGGTAGGTGACTGGACATAAATAAAGCAGGGCTGGCAACAGTGCCACCTCTTTGGGTCATTAGAGGCTGGAGATGCTATGAACATAGAGTTTTGCACACAGCCTGTCTCAGGGCACAGGCTTGATGAACATGAGCTCTTGCCATCGTCCCGGTCACCTGTCTCTGAAAGATCTTCCTCTAGCCAGCACCCCCTCTTCTGAAAAAGGGTGGGATTGAAAGGGGATTGGTAGAGGAGCCTGCATCCTGAGTTGCTTTGAATTCTCTACTGAGACCCAAAGAAAGGAAATGCATTTATACTGTGCTATGGACAGAATTCAAATGAGAGATCCAGAAAGGCAGAGAACTCGGAGACCACCAGCTAGAAGCCCTGGTGGCTGCTGGAATGCTCGTAGTGTGTTTGGTACACTGGAAGGTGTGTGACACTGGAAAGGCCAGTCTCTTACAGCCCTCGCTATCTCCCTGGGTCTCAGAGGAGCTGGTAGGTGGCTGTGCCCCTCTCAGCATCCTGCAGTGGAGGGTATTCTCATATTCCTTCTAGGAGAGGTCTCATTGTTGATGAGTCACAGAGGTTGGACTTGAATCCAGATCTTTAATTCAATCATGTGTGCCCAGCACTTGGTAGACGATGAGTAACTGTGGAATGATTAAAGGACTCAGTGAGAGTTCACATGACAGTGAGGCACGTCATAGCTACTGAAGCCATTTCCAGGCTAATTCAGTTGATAAGTCTCCCAGGCATTTTTAAAACGCAGGGCCTTTCTGTACCATCCAACCAACCAGAGCAGGCCCTAGTGCTCCTGCTTGCTGAGGCCCAGAATAGCTGTCTTCCGGAAGCTGGGATCATAAGACTTCATCCCCTCACTCCCTGTGCCGGCCTCAAGAAGGTGTGTGGTCTCCAGGATGGGGCAGGGGGACGTCCAGAAAGACCCAACATGTTACCTACTCACACAGATAGCTAATTTTCGAGTACAGGTGATATACTCTGCTCAACACTTGCTTTACGTATCTTATTTGATGATCATGTCCATTCTGATGTAGTCATTACCCCCATTTTACAGATAGGGAAGGCAAGGCAGAGAGATTGCAAGCTCACACAGTCAGTAATTGGCAGCCCCAGAATTCAGGGCCCGAAAGCCGTACTCCAGAGCTCAAGTGTGTATTGCAAGGCCATACTTCATCTCTGGGCTGAAGGAGACTTTAAAGTTCCTCTTGTTGGCCTCTGGGCCTCCCATGGCCAGTCAGTGTCCTTTCCTTTCCTCCTCAGCCATATTATGGCCCATGTTTTTCCTTGATCATCTAGAAGAAGGGCAGAGGAGACAAGCTCCCTTGGGGCCAGATTCCTGGCTAGGGAGAAAGGCCAAGTTGGGGGCTTAAGGGGTCTCAGCCAGCCACAGATCTCCCAGCCTCTTCCTCCACTGGCACAGAGTTGCAAGTGGCAAGGGACAGGGGTGGGAAGCTACCTGCCACCTGAGCTCAAGGCCCAACCCTGCGAGAGCGAGACTCAGCCTCAGCCAGAGGGAAATGCAAATGTGGCTCTTTATCAATAAACAGGCACAAATGCACTCATGGAGCCATGCTCTGAGAGCGGTCCTCTCTGGCCACTCCGTGAGCCCCCATTGCGGGTGCAGCTAATAATGCCTCCCGTCGTTTCCCCCTGATTGAAACAGCCCCTGAGCAGCAGGGACACTTGCTTGATTAGTCGCCAGAGCCCAGCCTTCAGTCAGCTGCAGGGAGGGAGGTGGGAATTGACAAAGAGCCGGTCCAGGTTTCCTCAGAGGCCTGGCACGGCCTTCCCCAAAAGGATGTCAGGGAGGTGCCTGGGTAGAGCCTTCCAGACTTGGCTCAGCAGAAGGGATCAGTATGTACGAGCCATGCCCTCTCCTGTCTGTCCTCACAGCATCCTGAGTAGGGGTCCTGTTCCCCCTTACTGTGGGACATGAGAGCTCAGAGCGAAGAAGGGACTGCCACAGTGGGACAGTTCTGAGTGTCAGTGCTAGATCTGAACCCATGCCAGTCTGGCTCCAGACTCTGCTCTTCCCGCTCTACCCTGCTGCCATCTTGGCAAACCTGATATTTAAAAAATCTGGGTTGATACAACTGACGATGAGGAAGAGATTTTATTCACTTTGTAGAAGGGCTATTACAGGATACCTTTAGTCCTTTTTCTTATTCCTTTAAGGTGGTCAGGTTTACAGAAATTTGCTAAGCAACTGGTGGGTACAGCTAGTTTGGTGGCCCATTGTCTTTAAATGAAAGGAGATCTGGCCCTGGTGGTCAGCAGGTGGACATGTCCCAGCAGTTTGGCAGCCTCTGGAAGCTGGCCTGGGCCCACCCAGACCCCTGAGTCAGGAGCTGCACGCTGACAAGCCCCTGGTGATTTGTGTGCACATTAAAGTCTGAGAAGCGCCAGGCGAGGATCGTTGCTAATGATGGATAACGTGGGAGCTGTGGGTAATAAATCGTTCATCCAGCGTCAGAAAGAAGGTAGCTGGGAGGGAGGGGAGTGTGGAGCTGGGGCAAGCCTGGCCTCGCTGGGCCTGGCACTGGATCCCCAGGCCTGTCTAGTGCTCTGAGCATCGCCGACGTATGAGGCACAGCTGTAGGCTGGCTTCCTGATAAAGTGCCCGTGTCCTTGTCCCCTTGTTGGGACCTGCTGGGTCATGTAGAGGCACTGAGAAGTTTGGAACCCAAGACTGAATCTGGTTATTCTGTGACCACCACTGAGTCCCCAACGTGTCTGCATCTGGTTCCTTTTCTGCAAAATTGTGAACACAGAATTGCTGCCTGTTATAGCTCCTCTAAGGCCTTGATTCAGGTCCTGTCTCGCCTGCTCGG